CTACTAAGAAAGTGATGAGGTACTTGCAAAAGACTAAAGACCATATGTTGGTCTACAAAAAGATGGACAATCTTGAAATAGTTGGGTATATAGATTCTGACTTCCTTGGTTGTCAAGATGACATGAGTCTATTTTAGAATATATTTTTATGTTGGTTAGATGAGCTGTGTCTTGGAAGAGTATGAAGCAAACACTCTTAACTTTTTCTACTGTGTAGGCTGAGTTTGTAGCATGCGATGCAATTGCTATACAAGCAATTTGGCTTAAGAATTTTATTTCAGGTCTTTGCATTATTGATTCCATCTCTAGAGCATTGAAGATTTATTATGATAATAAGTTTGTTGTGTTGTTTTCTACGAACAATAAAAGCACTAATAGGCTTAAACATTTGGAGATAAAATATCTTAAAGTCAATGATTTTGTGAAAATGGTGAAATTATTGTCAAACACATTGAGATTGAAAACATGATTACTAATTCTTTGACTAAGGGGTTAAAACCTATAATGTTTAGTAAACATGTCGAGAGCATGGGTATTCTAAGGTATTTAGATGTAATTCATTAGTAGCAGTATATCATTGTGTTTCATACTTACACATTATGGTTTATCTTTATGTTAGCCCTTTCTTTATGTTTGAAATATCTACATGATATTTGATTCTATGCTTGAATAATGATCATCGTTAGTTTAATATTCATGTTATTATTTATTATGTTAATACATGTACACTTGGAAAATTAAAATTTGCTATATGCATTGTAAAGTCTTAAAATGTGGTATCTGTCTTAAGGACAATTTTAATGTCTTTTGGGTATGTCTCATAAATGATACCAGCAAATGATCTTGAAGATATTAAGAAGACATATAAGCAAGAGGACTAACAATCAAAATAACACATTAAGATCACATTTAGGTGTTATTTTCTTATTACATAACCACACTAAGATCCATTATTGATAAAGTCTTTGGTACTCGAAATCGTGGATTGGTCTTATGTCAATAAAGGCATAAAGACTACCATGATTTAGTATTAAATGGTTTATTAGATAGAATCATTAAGATGTTGTCTCAAGGACTAAATTGTTTTTAAAATTATGGCCACATTAAAGTAAAGTAAATTAGTCTAGAGTCTTGTTTTCAAGTTCAAATTTTTTTAAACTTAAACAACCCAATTAATATTATTCAAATGGGAGAATGTTAGAATTTTTTGTAAGTGGACTACTATTGATTAGTGATATGATTTAATAAAATTGGCTTATGGATTTAGTTTTAAAATGAGACAAGCATGAGAGTCTAATTAATTTAATGTGATTATCTAAGTGTGAGCTTTGCTCATCTTATTGGGTTAGTTTGGTATGGTAGTTATGTAGGCTTTTGACCCGATAAGCCTTTGATGAGGAGGTTATTAGAGTTATTTAATTAATAAGGCTAAAGTCTCCTATTTACTTCTCATATATGATAACTAACCATTTGAGAAACTATTGACAAGAGAAAAGAGCAAAGATGAAGACCATAACCACTTCTGAGACTGTTTTGCTACCGTAAATTCACAATGACCACCCAAATAGGTATGCCTAATATCTTCAATTAATGTATGGTGTTCTAATTTTCACATAATGATCTTGGGTTAGTGTTTACATGTTTTACTTCCACAAATTCACAATGATCACCTAAACAGGTATACCTAATCTTTTCAATTAATGTATGATGCTCTAATTTTCACACAATGATCTTAAGTTAGTGCTTATTTTCATTTCTCAATACTGACACATCATAGACTAGATCCAAATCATTTATCTTTGCAAACTATGGAACAAAAAGCAATAGAGAGCTTTAAGAAATGCACACAAAGATGAAAAGATGTGACTATACAAGTACAACCACATCTCACAGAGAAAAAACTATTGTCTTGTTTATCAACACCTAAAAAGCTCTATATTATGAAAGAATGATTAGGAACACCACTAAGAAATTTGCTAACATGATGATCTCAGGCGAGATTATTAAAAATGCCATCAAGAATGAAAAATTAGATGGAAGAAAAATTACAAAGTGCAACAAAAAGTGAAACACCCAAGAAAGAAAATGAAGCTCATGTTGTGAACAATGAGGGGCATTAGTTTGAATGCTTCACTCTATATTATTGTCACCCAATGTACCAAGGCCTTGTAGCATTAATTCATTATCCCTATCATCCAGTATCAACATTAGTTTTTTAGCCACCATTTTAACCCCAAACACACATTTATATGGTTAGCGCTATCATTATATTGCTTTTAAGCATAAGGCATAAGGTCTCATTAATGCTAGCTTGATAAATTTTAAGAATAAAAAAGGATCAGATGTTGTTGAAAATCTTTTTCCCTGACCATGTAAGGGCATAATTCTAAAAGGACTTTTATGATAGTTGCTCGTTATCTTTAGAGTTTTTAAGATGTAATAAATGTTAGGAAAATCTTTTGTGCGTTGATCTGGTGTTTGTCTTTCATTTCAATAAAATGACAACTGTATTTCATTACACATTCTTCTTTCCATCCTTATTTTTTATGTCCTTTCATATTTCACTCGTTCTTGTATTCTAATCAATGAATGTTTGAACAATTATGACAAAAATTTAAGATTCAATTTCGAAAACTTCAGTCATGTTCATGAGATTGATGGCTTAAATCCTTAATCTGTTGAAATGCAAAGTGAATTAAAGTTGACATGCTATCTTCATCTATTAAAGGGAGAAATTTGTAAGCATGTGATCTTGTATAATTATTTATCCATGAGTTTGCTCTTATTCAATAAATGTTTTTTCAAAAAAAAAATTCACGTTTAAGATGAACAATGGCCATCATTTTGTTACCTTTCACACGAAGAGTAAAATCATCCTTTTGTTACCCCTTTTAATCTTATTATGATCTTTTTAGAAAGAAACCCACCAAGGATCTCATTCCGCATTAGGGGACAAAAATTGAAAAAGAGATTTGTTCACGAAAAGATAGAATGAAGGTTGTAAATTATTTAAAGGGCAAAAAAAGGAAAGCCCTTTTGTGTAAAGCAAAGCCATGAAAAATTCAAAAAATAAAAATTTCAAGATGAAAGGAAAATAAAGAGAATAGGTAAAATGCTAAGTGCCCTAAATGATGAGATATGATCCTTGGGTTTATGACCTTTCAAATACATGTATTGAGCCTAATCTATCAACTTTTTAGAAAAAAAAATTCACCATAACCTACATTACATGCCTCCAAAGCTCATTTTAATCAAATGTCAATGCTTTGATTAAAGAATCATATATTGAATTAAAGTATACTTATGGTAAAATTCAAGGACAATAAGATTAGGGTCTTTTTTTGGATTGATTTAAAGTCGGCAGGAACATTGTGATGAGTGAAAAAGAAAGATGAAAAATGAAAAATGAAAAACTTAAATTGAAAACCCGAAAGAACGATTTAAGTAAAAGATGATATCTTTGCTAGAAATATGAAAAGGCAGTCTAGGAATATAAAACCAATATCATTTGAGAATCCATAAGATAGGGGTATGATTTGGTTTAATGAGCTAAAGGAATCGATAAAATGAGGTTTTAAGAAATAATTCTAGATTAGTGTTAAAATTTGTCTAAATATTCATTATTTGGATGTTGTTATACTATCCAACAATTATCCTAGTGATATGCTTTGAAATTGTTCATTTGCCTATTTGTTCCTTACTTATTCTTGCATCAAATATTCCTTTTCTTTAGTTTACCTTATCATTTTTGCTTCCCTGTAATGAATCTGGGAGATATATAACTAAATTACATTTGTAATGAAATTAAAATGATAAGAAATAAATGAGGCAACACATAAAAGATCTTTGCATGACTTCTGAATTGAACTCAATAATGATAGGGGCAAAATGAAGATGATAAGGAAATGATGAAAGAAACTTCAAATTTAGAGAAACATTATCGAGAACTTCAAATTTGGGCATTATATGATGGAATTAACAAAACAACATTCTAGTTCATAAAGCAGTTAATAAGATAAGTGAAGATAGTCGATTCTAAAATCGTGATTGCTAAGAAACAAAAAGAATGATCGAAAGTTGGAAAAGAAAAACAGAATGATTTCAATTCAATTTTTGGTACACGTCTATTAATCATTTTCAATCCATTTGTAAAAACATATTTACCTTATTAACAACGATTTTTTTTCCTCTAATAGGTATGCTATAATTTATGTATTAATAAATTACTTCTTTAATTTTAATAAAATATTCATCCATTAAAATACAAAAGGAATTATTTTATTAGTTATTTGAATAACGAATTTTTCAACATTTTGAACCGTTTAAAGGTAAATATTTATTATTAAATTCAATTGACTCGTGATCTTTATTAAAATATTATTTAACTCTCATATGATTTGTTGATAGAGTATTAAATTATTTATTTTATTAACAAAGTTCAAAACTTAACAACCTCAATAATAAAAAAATATTGAAAAAAGTACAATAAATAATTTTACTTACAAAAGCCCATTAATGAATCTTGAAATAATGAATAATTTTATTAATAAAAATATAAATTGTTGTTTACTTTATTACTTTATACGTAAAACAGTTTTTCAATGTATAAATCAAAACTCAAAAACTGAAAGCTAAAATTTTATTTTTTTCAATAAATTCGTAATTTTATCTTTTTTAACTTATATAAATATTTATATAATAAATTAATAATATAAAAATTAAACTATCACCCAAGCGTCACACAAAATTAAAACACACGGTACATAATTAAATAAGTAAAGCTAATTCATTTATCACATGATCACTCGCTAGTGACCCACATGACAATGTGCGTTTATCACCTAAGTCGAGGAAAAGTGTAAAAGTAAATAATTTTCTTATTTTTCATGATCTATTAATGCCTCGAAACTCTTGTCTTACTGATGATACAATGGGCTTTAAACTATATTACTCGACAGGAAGATGATACGGCCATGAACATATTGGTGCAAGTGCTGCATATGTCTTTAAAAGGGCTCAAGTAATCAGTTCTATCGCCAAAATTTACTTGCTTCTCTATGAACATATCGGTGCAAGTGCTGCATATATCTTTAAAAAAAGGCTCAAGTAATCAGTTTTATCGCCAAAATTTACTTGCTTCTCCACAGGAACTACTGCTTTTATCCTATAAACACCCAAATTATGAGATTCTACCACATGATTAAGTATATTTCCACTATAGACTACTCAACAACCATTACAAGAAAATAGATCTTTGAGTGAAAGAAATTTTCATCACTAAATCTCTTCTTTTCTGTCACTAAAAATAATTATCAACGAAAATTTCATCAATAATATTTTATTGAAAAATATAGAATTGCTAAAAGAATTTTGTCAGTAATGAAAAGATTCTGTCAATAAAAAAAGAATTTAGTGACAAAAAATTCCATCAATAATTTCATACTTTTGTCGCTAATATTATTTTTTAGATAACATATTTTTTATTTTAATTCTAAAATTCTATCGTAAAAACTATTAGCAACAAAAATTTTCATCTCCAATACTATTTTATTTAAAATATTTTTAATTTTAATTCCAAAATTCCATCATTAAAACCCATTAACAACAAAAGTTTCCATTACTAATGGGTTTTATTGATACTTCATTTTATCGATAAAAATATTTTCTTTTAAAATATATTAAAAATAAAAATATAATAAATAAAATTCTTCATTTTATTGATAAAAAAATCTTTTTCAAAATTTTTACAAACTTTACACATACAAACCTAAAACTTATATATACAGTAATGCACCATGCACTAAGAGAAAGATACTGATATTGGACTAGACTAGCCAAAAATCTAACTTAATCCAGTAATGCAATTAGATATAAGACTAGAAGTTTACCATTTAATGCACCATATGCTAAAAGATTAATCCTGCTGCATTACTAGGACCAGCTTCAGGGATTGGATCTTTATGGTTTTCATGAATTCCTCTTTGATATCTTCATCATCAATGCCCAAGTACGTAAGTTTATTAAGAAACAGTCAAAGAGAACTAAGTAACAAATATATTATCAAGACACTATGCAACAACTTATGAAAATCATTTAGCATTTCTCACTACAGATATATTATCAAGATATTAGACACAATACAACAACTTAATGAAAACCTAGTGGCATTTCTCACAACTTACAAGTTACAAAGTTGTAAAAAATGATGATCATGAATAAATACATAAATACCAAGAGCATATTCAACTTGCTTTTGCAAAGTAATAACCTCATCAAGCTTTTGCGAATTAATGCTCTCAAATACCCTTCAACTTTCATTTGTAGTGCTCCCAACCACCCTAAAACCATATCTAGAGATATTTGCACGTGTGATACTTTGGTGTCTAACATTTATTCTGCCTTGCTGTTATTTTCTTATTCCATGGACTTAAACTTAATTGGAATATTGGATTCAATGTCTCTCACGACTAGAATGCTGTTGCCAAATCCTTGAACATATGGAATGTAAACCAGACCTCACAACTAGAAACTACAGTGATGGAAATTTGGTTGCATCTCAAAAGAAAAACAAACTTGGAATCAGTCGGGTCCATAACGTTCTTTGACTAGTTCTGAAAGATAACAATTTGTAAATTATTTCCATCTATCTATGAGACAATTGAGATGCACTTATTACATCTTCTAATTGCAAGGAACTATAGCTCATGCTTTAGAGAAAACTAAGTATGGAGATTCAAATGTCCAATGGAAAGAAATAGAAGCAAAGTATCACTTTCCATGTCAATTCACAGCTGACATAATAGCAAAGAATGCCACTGATTTTATCATAACCAGCACCTATCAGGAAATTGCTGGAAGGTTGTTTACATCTTATATATTCATGCTTGAATCATGATTTTGCATCCATTATCTGATATAACTAGCTGCCAAATTTCATGCTCTTCCAAAATTTACATATAAAATAGACATTCTTCCAAAACTTGAAAGACTGTTCTCCATTAATAAAATACCTCTTGCAATTGCAAAGGAGAGAGAAAGAGAAGAAGGGGGGAAGGGTTTGGATGATGTAAATTTAAATACAACATGTAAATCCAGTAAAGTTACCTTGGTGGAGCGGACATGTTTCAAGGATGACTATAGTTGACGCTCATGCTGCTTAAGCTCTTTTGGAGTTCAAGGGGCCCAAGTCTTGATCAAGAAGATTTCTGCCGAATCAAAGACCAAACAAAATTGCACATAAAACTGCTCATATTCAAAAATTTAAAGCAGGAGTAATTACAATCCTAATGTTGCCCTGTCCTTCCAAATGCATACATATTCTCAATCTCACAAACAAAAACTGTTCAAAACATAAAGATAAATGCAAAAATAGCCTATCAAGTTAATCTAAAATCTAAAGCTAAGTATGGTTGTTAGACTAATTACCTCTGAGTGCGTTGCAGGGCCTCATATCTAGCTTTCAGTTTCAGGTACTCCCAATAGCAGCTCTGCTACAGCAAAGATTAACAATAAGAGACACTATCAATTAAGTCTTTATCTATGGTTACATACTAGCAAAAACTATAGTTGTTACATATAGCAAACAGTTTATGAACATACCAAGCTCTCAAATTAAGTTGCAGTAAATATTGTGCAATGATAGAATTATTGCCATCTCAACTCAAGCTCTTGGGCTGGCTTGCTAACTTTCATTGCACCATAGCTGCATTTCTGATATCTATCAAGTGTCTTTAGCATGCTGGGATGAAGGCAAAAGAGAGAAGAATTTATCGATGCTAAACATTTCTATGATACCGAGGAGGACCAGTCTAATAAACCCATGTAAATAGGAAAAAAGGTTGAAACTTTTTAACTTACTTGTTTGCCATTAATAACATATTCCTCTTGCTAATGGCCTCATTCTTAATTTTCAAGTTTTATAACTAAAAAAAGGGAAACAGAACAGGTTTTATAAGTAACACATGCTGAAAATTCATGGAGGCATTTTAACAAACACTAGGCAGATATTGCCTAGTGTACATACAAACACAGCCTTTTGTGTTGGGGAAACTCCCTGCAGCACTTACAAGCAAGCAAACTGTTTTCAAATTCTCTACACACTTAACTAGTTGCTGCTATATATGCTACACGCATGTCTAACTAAGCTAGCACACATGATTAAATAAAGTAGCACACATGTCTAACAAAGTTGGAAAGATTGAGATATAAACCTGATCGCAAGCACTATTGTAGGAAAGAGTTTTGGCATAAAATCTTAAATAACTACCTCAACTAGCATAATTGCCAGTTTAACTCTTGCCCACACATACAAAAAATATATATTTAAGCAATATTTAATAATTTGCCCAAAAAATCTAAGTCCTAAAGGCAAAAGAAGATTAATGAAAGAGTGTGAATAGCCAAAGATGTCAAGCCAACTGACAACCAAATGCAAAATTGTTTGGTGTGTCAATTCAAAGAAGTACACAGCAATTCATGGCCACTAGAAATTACCTATTACACATGGAGAATCTCAAGCACAACGTTTATTGATGTATTGATGAGATAGTATTCATCATCTTACAAGTAAATGATTAGGAAACAAAAATCATACAGCTTACCAATTTAACAATCAACGCGCACTCATGGCGCAAGTGAGAGAGCTTTTCACGGAGTTTATCGGAAACAAACTGCTTCCCCCCCAAGTTAACCTCCATTCCCACCAACAGTAGTTATCATATATATGCCCATGAGATAATTGGACTTTGCTAACAGAGAATGAAGAATCAACATATTATTTTTCCCAAAAAAAAATTATAACAGAAAATTTTTATAAAAAAAAACCCAAAAAAAAAAAAACCTTTGTATACGAACACAAATGAGGAGGAAAGGGGGAGGCCAAGTGCCCGTTAGGCCTCCAACGGGGCACCAGCGATAGCCATGGCTGAAAGAGACGCTGGTAGCGCAAGGGGAGGGAGGAGCCCAGCTCGAGAAAGGGGTGGATTGGGCAGGGGAGGGCGCGCAGCTCGCGTAGGGGTCGGGTGCCGGTTGGGATGGCGGTCAGCGGAGGATGGGGTCGCACAGGCAGCAGCGCTACTAGGAGGGAGGGTCGGGGTGCCGTTAGCGTGTCGGGGAGGAGGGGGTCGGCGGGAGTAGGCTTGAGCTTAGCTAAAATTCGATTAAATTTTATTTTATTAATTTGAACTCTACTTCGTATAAAAATTTGAATTATTCAAATTTATTTAATTAAATTTAATTAATATATAAAAATAAATTATATTATAAAATTTTAATTATTTATACTTAAATTTAAGTTTAAATTTAAGATATTTTATTAATTAAAATATAAAATTTTAATTAAATTCGTAAATTACTTAAATTAAGTATAAAAATATTGAAATTTGATTCAATCAATAAATCAAATTATTTAAGATTGACTTGATAATAATTAAGTAAAATTTAAATTTTATTTAAATTAAATCTAAATAATTTACGAATATTAATATATCATTTATATTTTTAAATAAAAATATTCAAATACAACTATACAAACACAATTTAAAATTGAATGAATTCTATTAAAATTTTAGATGGTGTTTTTTGACCTTTAATAATTCTTTATAAGATTATATTTTACGCTTTATTGTCGGTATATATTTTCATTTCTTTTCAATTATTTAACAAAATGAAATATAGAAAAATAAGTTAAAATGTAACTATGAATAAAATAAAATAACAGGTATTTCAACTCTTTGATAAAACAAAAAAGACAGACATAAGTATAAGATAACAATTCAAACAATTGTTCTTTGATAAAAAAAAAAATCTATTTGATATTATAGAAGCTACACATTATAATGACTTTCGCATATTTAAAAATTAATTATCATAATTGATATTTATAAGTAATTTTGCCATTTAAAAAATTACATTTTATATTTTTGTATAGGACCACTTGTGACATTGCACGTGGCCTAAAATATCTTTTAAACGGTCATGATGGTCCATTTACATTCCAATGCCATAAAGCGCTATATAAAATCATACAAAGGTCACGGGGTGCTCAATTATTTTTTATCTTCGTTATGTTAGGCATTTTAAGTATTGCTGTAGCTTTTTTTTTTTGGGTCAAAAAAAAGTTTAAGAGTATAGAAAGTTATTTTATTTTTAAAGTTAAAGTAAAATGTCAATTCATAAAGAAAATTTACGAATCTTTTAATTTTTTTGAATTTACAAATCATTTACTAATAAAAGATCGTGAAAATTCAAATCTAAATATTTTACATCTAAATTACAAACCTTAATCACTTGCGCCAATCTTTATTGGCAAGCATTTTTGTAACTAAGGTATGCAATCAATGCCCCCTTAACGATATTTATAGCTGCTCTTCTAACTCTATTTTTATACCTTGAAAAATATCACTAAAGTTTATTCACAATAAAGAGCATGAACAGTTCTTTCGGTTATTTGACTATAAAATTAATAGTAGCTTAGCATAAATTTTATTACCATTTGTTTTTTATAATACATTTTTTGTAAATAAAAGTAAACAATAGTTTACTGGCTAAAAAATCATATATATATGTTTTTAATATTGAGACACATTAATTATTAAAAAGGATACATTAATTCATAGACTTAGATTACCAAATCTAATGATATCAATAGCTAAGGCATTACGCTGTATGACTCATCTATTGCGTTAATTTCTTTAGACACATACATTTAAAGAGGAAAGGTTTTATCAAAAGACAACTACACTAAAGTTAAGAGAACAATAGTGTGAGCAAATATAAAGATTATGCTATTTTACAGGTTTATGTTAGATTAGATAACAATACAAAATAGTCTTTTTTCATGAAAGTCATAATACAATAAAGATTCATTAATCAAACAATTAAAATTATAGAGCAACATACCTTAATTTTGCATGCTAGACCTCATTTTTTAAAGTGATTTATAATCTGTCAAAGTATTTAATACAATCAAAATATGAGAGATTCGAAACCTACACAATTTCTAATAAAACTGATTAAACAATTTGACTAAAAGCAGTAAGTTCGATGCTATTTTATAAATCAAATTCATAATATGATTATGTATGACAAATCTCTACAATCTAGAAAATACAAAATTATTTCTATTACATAAAGAAGTGAAGGCAATTATAAGTAGGAATTGGTTATTACATGAGCAAAAACATAAAATTAAACTCTTTCATATCATAGAAGCATACACATTATATTGGATTCCGCATATTAGAAAAATATTTGAAACAATTGACAATGGTAAATAGTTTTACGGTTTACAAAAAAAAAAAAAAAAAATTGTTAACTTGCATAGGACCAATTTGGTCATTACACATGGCTTAAATGATATTTTAGGTGCTGATAAAAGTCCATTTATAGGCTAACACCATAAAAGACTAAATAAAATCATAACAACATCATATCATGCTCAAATATCTCTTAGCTATGTTAGGCTTTTAACTATTGTTGTAAATTACCATATGTATTACATGTCCCCTATCCATACCTACCTGCCGACTATAAAACACATGCCATTGTTGACACATACTGTTAAGAAACATCAATGTTTGTATACAATAGATACAATAGAAATAAAATTTTCATTATTATAGAATAGATAACACTTCAATGAATGATCACATAAATGTCAGTATAATTGTTTTCTGCTATATTGAATTAACAACTCAAAGTAATATGATGAATCTAAACATAAGCAAATAGTTGCAGGTTGATAATAGTGAGAAATTGCATAAAGTTTCTTTTATTGCTAATCACACATTTCATGTCAATCTATTTTAGTAAAAGAAAGGATATAGATTAGCCATGAAAGATGTCAATTGAGAACCTAGCAGCAAGGTAAGAAAAGATAAAATAGGAAACACACACTGAGTTTCTTTAAGACTCCAAGGCACCGAAAAAACTTCTTTGAATCAGTTAGATTCACATTATTCTGACTTTGGTTCGTTAAACCCTAGGCAGTCATAGATTTGTTTCATCAAAGCTTCGATGACGATGGAGGGATTTCTAGAATTGGGATTTGCCAGAATTCTCTTTCTCCAATCCAAAGAACAGATAGAACTTGCTTCAAACAGAAATGACAATTAAAATTTAAATAATTAGCAATCACTGCCATAATTTACCCAAATGAGAAAAAAAAAAAGTGAAAACCTATAACAGAGATGTATTAAATCAATGAGCCAAGCCAAAAGAACACATACATAAATCTTGAATGTGATGGAAACAAAAAGGAGATTCTTTAAGGAATGAAAATAATTTACTTACGAGATTGATTGCTTTCCCTCGATTCAATTGCGAATCAATTTCTTCTTGACCAAACGAAACTTCAGAACAGGAAAAATATTTTAGCTAGTTAAATGGGAGAAAGAAGGTTTTTTCTCCTGCGATAATGTTTGAACGATATTAGATTAAGGATAGAAGATTAAGCTTTTTGGAGATCTCAAGGGACTTTTCAGAATTAATCCTTCCTTATTTTAGGGAAAAATATTCATCATTATTATTTTGTTTAGAAAACCACAAAATTTTTTGCAAAAAAAAAAAAATTGAAATAGGAATGCGAAAGGATAGAACTTTAAAATCAGATGAACGTTTTTTCTCTGGTATGAATGATCTATGTAACATGGGGTTTAATGATTCATTAAATGTTTAAACTAATAGTTTTTGCTCTGGTTCAATGTTTTCATCCAATTTAAAAAGAATAAAACGTTTTTAAAACAAAAAAAGGAGACGTAAATTTTTTAAAAAAAAATTGCCTTGCAAATTCATTAAATAGTGTTTATTTGTATAACTGATGAACAGAAAAACCCATAAGACATATGAATAAATTTTTTAAAAGAAAGGAAATATTTATAAAATAACACATGGCATCATGTCAAGGATCTGCAGATAAAAATAATTTATTGTTAGATTATGATTGAACAATTATAAAATTATAATAAAATTAAAATATATATTTTTTACAAGAAAAATAATGTTCTAGCAACGAAAATTTTCTATTGTTAAATCTCTTGTAATCATAAAATTACCAATGAAATTTCGTTGCTAATTCTATTGGTAATATTAGCGTCAATTTAGTTATTTTGGCATGCACTAATACCAATAGAATTTAATTCCGTCAATAATTCTCTATTTTTATCAATAGAATTATGCCATTGATTCTATTGATAAAGGCAAAATTTTGATTCACATAAATATATTGGTAATTAATCAAAAATCTATTGATAATAACCATTTTTAGAGATGAAAAATTTTCATCATTGAAAGCCTATTTTCTTGTAATGAACTTGTTTACCCTCTCAATATATTAATAAGTCTTACTAAAAGTCTTTAATTAAGCCATTCATGATATCAATGAAGTGATTTGATATATCGACAATGCTTTCACTTGGGTTCAACTTGAAGAACTTATAATCAAGTGTGAGCATACTAATATTTGATTCCTTAATTAACTTGAATTGTACCTTCATCTGTGATTATCAATTTTTTCCATACTTGCTTGGCATTAAAACAAAGAAAACCATATTGTATTCACTTGGTCCCAATGCATAAAAGACAGTGCGCATAGCTTTTGCATTTAGTTAAGCCATCTTAATATCATTATTATCCCACTCATTTCCATCCTTGACAACTTTCACACCATTTACTATCTTTTTTTTAAATAAGTGGACCATTCATAATCACCCCCACACTTTATAATCATTAGCTTAATTAAAAGGTTTCACCCTTATCCTTAAATAGGAATAGTTCTTAATAATGAAGAGTGAAGGCCTTACCATTGAGTGACTTTGACCACCAATTGATGTAACAATCATTCCAAGGGCCATGAGACACACTTCATGTTGAACATCTTTTTTCTTATTACTTAATAGATTTCTTTAAGTTGAACATAAATTTTCTTAGAGTTTAAGCAAGTAAAGACTAAGTTTAAGACGTGGGAATCAAGAGCCTTATAGAGAAACACTTGGCTTTGAATTATCTTGTAACTTCTTTAAGAAGTTTTTATCATTTGAAAAAGCTTAAAGACCTTTTTCTTCCTTTTTCCATACTCCAATGTCATGAGCCATAATTAACATCTTCATTCTCATTTTCCATTGTCAAATCTCATATTTTTCAAACTTTGG